CTCCGCTCACCGACGCACGATTGACGCTGGGCAAATCCCTTCCTCCAACGTTAGAAACTCTTGTGAGATCCTCTTCTAATTTCTCTAAAACCCTGGCACATCAGCCATAGCAAACTAGCGGTTTGCTATCCATCGGCAAGCACCCAACCAATTTTTTGACTACTTCGCGTGCCACGTGGTGGACCTTGCTGCCGCGGCTCGCCGCATTCTCCCCGAAGCTGACATCAGCCGATCTATCGTTCATTAGTTCAGAACTGGTCTCCAGGATTGCACGGCCAGCGAAATCCTTCTCTTGCACCGCTTAATCAACTTGGCTGCAGCCACTCAACCGTGTGGGTTGTATGACGAATACAGTCTGAAGGCATATCGTCCATCACGTCATGTCCCCACGTCCTCTCGCCTAGCCGCAACATCCGTCGGCTAGGCCTCCGCCCTCCACGTCCGGTTCCCAGACCAATTTTCCGAGCACTCCTGCTGTGGTGCCCTCCGGCCACAGGCACGACGGTGTGGACACAACCAACAAAGCAAGTCTCCCTTCGTTGGGCCTACTTACTTGGATATGTCGTCATGCTCTCCCCGTTTTGCAATATATTTTACACTGGCGGGCCCATATGAGCAAGCTTTAGTAGAGAGAGGCGCCGATGCTTTTCTTGTGAAAATCTTCAGCCTAACCCGCGAGTTACATGAGCGGATAGGGAACATGGGTTTTTCCCGTACTCTACGTGCATTAAACGGTATTCTGACAGCAATTTTGGACAGCGTATCTCTACATCTCGCCACAGACGACACAACTATCGCCTACCCGTCAGATAGCTCATTGACCATAGTTCTTGGTTTGGATTTGTTGGTGGGCCACGACTGCGTTATTCACACAAAGAACCGCCGTCTGTCTGCGCAATCCCATCCTGATGTTCCCAATCAACCGCGGAGGGAGAAATTACACCGTCGTAGCGACCGCGACGCTAGAACATAATGACGCAGACAAGATTTTGCCCCTCGTAGCAACAGCAGGCTTAGCGGCTCACGATAGACTCCGTCAAACCCTCCTTCGGCTTTGTTGCTTGTTCACATGGTCAACCGACACGATCGGGCGCGCCCACAAGGTTCAGGACACAATTAACACAGGTGACACCAAATCCATCCGGCAACCCCCACGCATAATTCCAGCACGATTTCGAGCAGAAGTCTACGAAGTCGTAGACGAATTGTTAAAGGCCGGCATTATACAACCGTTCTCTTCCCCCCCCCGTAGGCCTCACCGAGAGCTCCAGTACACAGAAACGCCTCTTTCCATCTTTGCTTAGGCTGTCGCGGTCTAACTGCATTTACTGTCGGTTATGTATGCAAAACAGAAGGGTAATTGGAAATAGGACATGTACTGAGTACGAGAAACAGCACAAGTGAGAAGGCTTGGGGAAACGGCCGGGCATATGGCAAAGGGGATTGTCATAGGCTGATGGGTGGCCAATCAGCACAAAGAAGGTGTGAACAGGGGTCATGACCTTGATCGTTCGCTTGTCACGCGTTTGTGGCATGATGTCCTGACGGACCAGGCAGGATACGCTGCTTCCCTCCACCTTAAAGTGGAGAGCATGGGGAGGTGTGGAGTGAGGGAACAGTAAGATAATAGTGGATAGTTTGACAATGTTCTAATAAGATTCGTCCTGAAAGCGTTGGATAGGTTTGCGGATTCGGGTCGATCTTCTCAGGGCGGCATTTCTTACCTCTGCGCCGCTTTGTGCAATCACTGGCTCCTGTGCCCCTAAGCTACTGCTGGCCGGAGTAGAAGTAGGAGGAGGAACATACGCCTCGGACGGTGGTGTAGTGCTCTGTGCAGGCAGTAGGTGTTCAGTCCTCGGGATGTCAGAATCCCTATCAAGAGTTGCTGGCAGTTCGAACTTTCCGAACTCTCCACTTACTGTGTCCGTTTGGCTGCGAACTTGGTCCAGATGCCGACGCACAATTCTCCCATCTTCTAACTCTAATTCTACTATTTGCCCCTCGCCTGTTCGAACTACTGCTGGACACCAGTTCGTTTCGTGTTCCAGTCTCGTGCAGACACTTTCGTTAGGGGCGAATGCTCGTGGTTTGGTGTTTACGTCATATCGTGTTTTCATTTTCGTCTGTTTCGCAATGACTCTATCATGTGTTGATGGATCAAGCAGGTCGAGGCGTGTGCGCAACTGCCGCTTAAACATCAATCCTGCAGGCGAAGCACCAGTTGAGCCGTTTGGTGTTATGCGATAGCTGAACAGAAAGCGTGACAACTTGGTGGCCAAGTCCGCTTACGTCTGTTTGGCTATACCGTGCTTTATTGTCTGAACTGCACGCTCTGCGAGGCCATTAGAAGCAGCGTGGTACGGGGCAGTAGTTAAATGTCTAACTCCATTTTCTCCATGAAATCTTTAAATTCTGCTCTAGTAAAGTCCGGGCCATTGTCTGAAACGAGCATTCCAGGTATCCCAAAAGTAGAGAAGACGGTTCGCTACTTGTTGATTGTAGTCAGTGATGAACAGGAACTTCCTGTCGGAATCGCATCAATCCATTTAGTGTGGGCGTCAACCACTACTAAGTCCACACGGCCTTGGAATGTCCCAAAATAATCGACGTGTACCCTCTTCCACGGCAAGTCGGGTCAGGCCCAAGGCTTCAGAGAAACCTTCGGTAAGGTATTCTGTGTTATTTGGCACACGTGACATGCTTTCACCACGTTTTCTATATCTGCGTCAATTTTGGGCCACCAAACATAGCTGCGGGCGAGAGCTTTCATTCTAACTGTATCAGGATGGGCATTAAGCAGCTCTCTGAGGATAGCCCGTCGGCCTTGTGGTGGCACAACTACACGATTACCCCATAGTATGCATCCGTCTTGTAGACTTAACTCGTTCTGACGGCTGAAGCATGGTTGAAAATCAGGGGAGGTAGAGGACGGACAGCCAGATTGTAAGGCTCTTTTTACCCGACTCAGGAGAGGGTCTCTCGATGTCCACTGTCGAATTTGTTGACAGGTTACAGGTGCGTTGACTAGGTTCTGCAAAAGATTTATGGTCCCAAAAACAGGTGCTTCGTTAATGCCATCGTCCACAATGGGAAGCCTACTCAAGGCGTCAGCCACTACGTTTGTACTACCTGTAACGTATTTCATTACATACGTGTATGCAGACAAGGTGAGTGCCCATAGTTGCATTCTCGGCAAAGACATCTGTTGTATCCCTCATTTTTCTCCCAGCAGACCTAAGAGGGGTTTGTGATCAGTGTAAATCTCAAAGGGTCGGCCAAAAAGATACAGGTGGAGGCGATGTAGGCCAAACATTATTGCCAAGGCCTCTTTATCTAGTTGTGAATAGTTGGTTTCCGCCTGTGACATGGTTCTTCATGAAAAAGCAATCGGCATCTCCGCACCAGAAGGCATTCGGAGCATGAGAACCGCACCGACGCCGTACGGAGACGCATCACATTTCAGTATGATAGGCTTTTCGGGGTCATAATGAACTAGGACAGATGAGTAGGTAAGAGCCGTCTTTGCTTGTTCAAAAGCACTTTGTTTGACGTCCGACTAGTTCCAGCAACGATTCTTTTCAAGTTGTCGATAAAGAGGCTTTAGAATTGTAGTCGATTGATTAATAAAGCGACTTTAGTGGGTGATCGACCCTAGGAATGAACGCAATTGACTAGTATTGTTGGGACGAGGCGCCGTCTTCAAGGCTTTGAGCTTATGTTCGAGTGGATGGAGGCCAGTTTTATCCACCTGAAGCCCAGGTATTCTGCCGAGTCGGCAAGGAAAGTGCACTTATCTTCCCTGAGTTTTAAAGTTACTTCTTCTAAACGTCCTAACACAATGTTTAGAGTCTGTAGGTGACTATGTTCCGATGGGCCGGTAACTAATATATCGTCAAGGTATGCGCAAACGTGAGGTATATCCTTCACGAGGTTATCAATCAAGCATTAAAATAAGTCGGGAACCGAACTTACTCCAAATGGTAGTCTTTTATATCGAAATAAACCTCGATGCGTATTGATGGTGGTGGCGTCTCGCGATTCAGGATCTAGGACGACTTGGTTGTAAACATGCTTTAGGTCCAAAGTTGTAAACTGATGACCACCCGAGAGGGATGAGTACAGATCGTCGATGCGCGGGAGAGGATAAGGGTTCATTTTAGTTGATG